AATTCGGAATGTAACGATAAAAGAACAACGACGAAACATATGGGAAAATAGAAAGGAAGAAAACTGAACACAACAACGTAAAAGAAAAAGAAAGAAAGAAAGAGACAAAAAAATGGAAGGAGGAAAGAAAGAACAACAAAACATGTAGGAAAATAGAAAGGAAGAAAACAGAACACAACAACGTAAGTGAAAAAGAAAGAAGGAAAGAAAGAATAAAGAACAAAGAAACACAATGGAAATAAAAAGAAAGAAAACTGAATGCGACAACGAAAGAGAAAAAGAAAAAAACAACGAAATACATGGGAAAATAGAAAGAAAGAAAAACGAAAACAACAAGGTAAGTGAAAAAGAAAGAAAGAACAAGGAAACATTATGGAAATAGAAAAGAAGAAAACAGAACGCAACAAGGAAAGAGAAAAAGAAAGAAAGCAAAAATAAAGAGAACGAAGATAAAACGAAAATAAAAAAGAGCGAAAAGGAACGATAATTTAAAAAAAAATAGTTGGGTATAAAAAGGAAAGAAACGAAAAAAAAAAAAGAAAAAAAAAAAGAGATGCGGGTGAACGAAAGCTGAAAAGCAACATTCTTCATTCCTTCCTCTTCCATCGTAAATCTGTGATCAGGGTTTCCCGATCCTGCCATCCACCTTAAATAAACTCAGCCTCCATACCCCAGCACCCATTTCTGTAATCAGTGGGACAGAGAACCTGTAATTACGGGTTCAGTGAGGCAAACATAACTGTCCTGTAAGTGGAACGCTACAATCTCCTTGTCAGACAGCAAAATAGCTTGCTAACAAGGCGGGATGCCTTGACGAGGAAGTAAGTTTACAGGAGGAAGTCCACGTACTTCTCGAGGGTAGGTTTCTTAAAACGAGAAGTCAATGAACCATTTTAAAATTAGTGCTGTAATCCGAAAATTTATTTAAAATCAAATTTGATATATTTTAAAATTTTGAAAGTGTTTTATGTTTTTAAAAATTTTATTAATACGTATTTAAATTACCAGAGGGATTCTTTAAGTTTATACAATTATCCAGTGTACAAATTAAAGTGTTCGATTCGAAATTATAACGTATATCACCTGAAGAAGACCGGGGCGTACAACGGCCGAAACGTCGTGAATATGGCAATAAAGATGAGGACAACAGTCTGAACAATGTAAATAGTACAAATAGTTACAATACCTCATCTCAGAATTATAGACAAAGAAAAATCGTTTTGACGTGGCTTCGTCTTTCTTCGTTTTTCTTATTTCATGTCGAAAGTGGTTAATATATATAAAAATTCACTCATTTGCTTCTTTAATCACGAGAAACGTCAGCTTAGGCAAAAAGTAATATGATTCATTATTTAAGCGGAGACTCATTTCTTTCTTTGGTTTTGGGATCTGATGAGGCTTGGCCAAAAATTCCCCGTAGACCTCATATATAGCCTCGTCTGGGGATCCTCTCTGTCCCGAGCTGGAGAATTTGACCAGCACAATTGGAGACGAATTTCCAACTGCAAGATATCTACCAACCGCAGCACGTAGTCAAATGTGGCACAAGGCCGAATTTAATGTGGGGTATCCGAGCCCGTAGGCACGGCCAAAAATACCCCGTAGACTCCGTATAAAACGAGGTCAGGTAGCTGTTTCCTGAGACGAGACTCTGCCCCTTCGACATAGCCTCGTCTGGGGATCCTCTCTGCCCGGAGGCAGAGAGTTTGATCAGCACAGCTGGAATCGAATCTGTAAGTGCAGACCAACATACAGTATTTACTACTCTATCTATGTGAATAGGGACATACGCATTAACGTCTGCTACAACAGTTACATTTGTCATTTGTGGCTAGTCTGTCTTCAACGTTTAGCGTGTGTAGTAGTGATTTAACTGAGCAGGGTTCCGTTTAACAATGGGAGGATGTTTATATCGTAAGCAGGCAGATATTATTTTTACATACGGCCTGGAGAATGGTAATGGACGTGAGGCTGCACGGCTGTATCAGTTTGCGTTTCCAGACTGAAAGTAGCCGAGTCATCCAACTTTTCCTGCTGTTTATCGTCGACTTACACAAACAGGATCCGTGGATCATCTCAGTGTCACTCACTTTCCCACCGCCGTAAGGTTGCCTCTCTGTGTCTTTTCTATAAATATTTTCATGGTAGTTGTTTGGATAATCTCTTCGCTATGGTACCTAGGCTTTTTAAATTTAAATTTAATTTAAGACTGGCATCGAGATCTCATCAATTTACACTTGAGCTGGATAGATATAAACGTATGTTCTATGTTAACAGTTTCTTTTCTCGCACTCCTCGCTTGAGGAACTCCCTCCCGGCTCCATGTTTTCTAGCCAAGTTTAATCTGCCAAAATTTAAATGCAATGTCAATCGTTATCTACTGTCCTCCTGATTGCTTCTTGTTTCTTCTCGCTCCTTAGTAATATTTCTGTTCCTAATCCTTCCACACCCAGTAACCCCTTGTGTCTTAGTGGCTTTACTGCCTTGCTTGGGGTGAACTCGATTAAACAAAATATCTAGTGTGGAAGATTTTCACGTCCTGTTGTTATCTTGTTTTGTTCATTTTTCGAACTGCTCGTCCTGTTTCCACTGAGACCAAATATGCACTACCGGGGACAGAGATTGAACTCACAATTACTGCTTTACCATACTCAAGAACTAACGCTTTAATCTTCTAGGCGAAGCTAGAGTATTAAAGGCTTATGTTCGAAATTCCCTGAAGCTTATTCAGACACCCGAAGAAGGACAAAGAGAACAACAGCCGAAATGATAATAACAACAAAGATGAGGATATTAGTTCGACTGTAAGTAATATAAATAATGAAAATTCCTTATCTCTGAAATTGAAGCAGAAAGATGGGACCTTGGTATATAGAACATTTATAACGAATTTAGAATGGAACGTAGAATAGGCTTCGTTAGAAATAGTTTCGTCCTAAACCCGTTCAGAAATATTTAAGCTCTCTGCTGTATGTAATCACTTTCTCAGATCAATAGTTAAAATTGACTTTGAACGATTGAAGCCTCTAGGTCTTGGCGAATGCCATCCTTCGAACATTGTGGATTGGCACTATACAATCAGAAACAAAGAGCTGTACTAAATAACAGAAAATACATCATTTAAGGGCATTCAACAGCAGCTAAAATTATATCACATGTAACTCAAAAAGAGAATAATAACCTAGTCAATAGGCTGACGTTTCACACGACCTCAACCGGTTCACACTCCTCCCCGATCTTCTGAACAGGAGTAGAAGTTTATCCCTTGTTTAGGATTTTTTCTTATATTCCTATTATTACCATTAGAGATAAGGAGAACAGATACTACACTTTGATCCTAGCCCAATGGCCAGAGAGAAACGGTTCATTAAAAAAAAAAAAATGGGTCGACCGTAGTCGGGATAATCGAGTCAATGCGAACGATTCTTTCCTTACCTGTATAGTATATGCTTCGCCAGGGCTCCCTACAGTTTTTACTTCAGAGTTTTCCCCGCAAGGCTATAGAAACCAGTCTGTCCTACTATTTATCTATAGCTGGGGTGTGGGAGAAGAGTTGGATTGATACGTATTAGTACGTAAGTGAATGCAAAGAACTCGACTGGAATTCAAACTCGTATCTCCGATTCAACAATTCATTACTTCACCATGCCTCAGAACATTAACAGTATTATCTGTTTTCCAATATGATATTCTTTAACAGCTATGTCCAGTATTTAACAAAACCTTTCTTCTTTGTTCTAAGAAACCACATTTGTTCTACTTTAGATGGAGTGCCTTATTAGGATCAGAGAAAAAAAAGGAATTGCCTGTAACTGGGATCATTGAGTCAATGCGAAGGATCCTTTCCTTAGCTGTATAGTATGCGCTTCGCCAGGGTTACATACAGTTTTTAATTCTAAGGTTTGCTTCTCCTCGGGCGCTTACCACCAAAGGCTATTGAACGCAGTTTGTACAACTACTTTACTTGTAGATGTGGGGAGAAAAATTGGATTCATACATTTCCAAAGGGAACTCGACTGTTATTCGAACTCAGCTCTCCGAATCCACAATCTGAGCTGAAATACATTACTCCACCGTGACTCAGAACATTAACGATATTATCTGTTTTCCAATCTGATCTTCTTTAACAGCCATGTCCAGTATTTAACAAAACCTTTCTTCTTTGTTCTAAGAAACAACATCAGTTCTACTTTAGATGGAGTGCCTTATCACAATGTCAGAAAAAAGAAACCATTACTTTACCTTGTCTCTTAATGTAATTTAAAACTTTATATTAATATACGTGACAACAATGAAAGTATAAAACAAACTCATATGTGGTGAGTTCATACGTTTCGCAAAGGAATTAAACCAAAATTAAAATAAAGGTCATCACCTTGAATTTGAACTCGTTTCATTTATACCATCTTTAACATCGCTATACGCCATTCGAAAACTAATAAATAAAAAATAAAAACTACACATAAACATCAAAAACAGGTAGGGACGCACATCATCAAACATACATATGAAGATGAACACACATTTCCACTGTTGCGATGTGACCGTAGCCCTACCATTAAACCATCATCTTCGCGAACATTCCACACCGGTCATATTTCTTTATGTCATTATCGCTGTGTCTTTTTATTAAGATTCATGTGACAAAATGGCGGTCCTACCCACGGTTTCAGGGCTCGGAGAAGTCGGGGGTCCTCCTCCCTGCTGGGGGTTAGCTGTCCAAAAAGGCCTCCGGCCGTTCACTAACGCACAGCCTCGTTTCCGTGTCTGTCCCAGCATGCTTCATCACTGTTGATCTATTTGTTATTTCTTGATCAACGGTCACGGGTCTCCGCAGTCGATTTGTCAGTATTTTGCAACGGTGATTGGCTGATGATGTGATAGAATTTGAAAGAAAGATAGAAAGAGAAAGGAAAAATAAAAAAAAAAATGAAATTAGGGAAGACAATGAAAGATATTCTTTTAAGCGAAATGAAAGTGGAGAAAGATAAATTGAAGATATGGCGTCGTACTCCATTTTGTTAATCACTCAAACTTCCTGTTCTTTTTTCTTTCTTTGTTTCTTTCTTATCCACTTCTCTCTCTCTCTCTCTCTTACTCTCTCTCTCCCTCGCTCTCTAGTAGCATTTCCTCTTTCTTTAGTTTTCTCTCTTTCTCTTTTTGTATGTGTCTGTATGTCTCTCTCTCTAGCTTCAATCTTAATTTCTAGAAGTTCCCTATAAATCTTGTTTATTTCTTATTCCACTCTTTCTTTTTTAAGTCTCTTTTCTCTTTCTTTAAATCTCTCCGTTCCTCTTCTACGTTAATCGTTTCTTTCTTATTCAATCCTCTCTCTTTTCTCTCTCTACTTTTCGTCCTACTTTCTGTCATTTCCTCTTAATCGTTTCTTTCTTTCTTTCTTTCTTCCTTTCTTTCTTTCTTTCTTTCTTTCTTTTTGTACTTCTCCTTTTCCTTTATCTCCTGCTTCTCCCCTCCTCCTCCTCCTCCTTCTTCTTCTTCTTCTTCTTCTTCTTCTTCTTCTTTATTTTCTCCTTCTCATTCTTCGTCTTCTTGTACTTCTCCATGTACTCCTCCGCCTTCTTCTTCTTCTTCTCAAAAATTCTCTTTTATCATTCTTTTAATTTTTACTTTCCTTTCTTTATTCTCCTCTTCTAATGATGATATTTTCTTTCTCTTATGCTATCCCCTCTTAACACATTTTCCCCTCAACCATATCAAAACCCTCTCTCCTCCCTTGTCTCATTCTTAACATCTTATCCTCTCCTTTCTCTCATTACTAACAGCCGTTTCTCATTTCTAAAAACCTTTGTCATCTCTCTCTCCCATGTCAAACATTTCTCTCTCTCATTTTTAACACTTTTCCCTCTCCTCCTCTCATTTCTAATACCTTCTTTCTCATTTTGATAATGTCTTCCTTACCTTTGCCTCCTCCTCTTTCTCATTGTTTACATCCTATTCTTCTTCTTTATCTTATTCTAACACCTCTTTCTCTTTCCTCTCTTATTTCAAACACTTTTTTCTTCAACTTTCTCTCTCATTTTAACACCCATTTCCACTCGCCTCTCACTTCTTTTGCCTCTCTTTTTCCTCTCGCATTCCTCGTAACTTTCCCCCCACTCTCTCTATCTCTCTCTTTGATTTCTAACACTTTTTCTTCACCACTCTCTCTCATTCTAAGACCTTTTTTCCACTCCCCTTTTATTTCTCTCTTATTCCTAGTAAACTTTTCCTCACCTCTCTCATGCCGAAGATCTTTTCCCTCTCCCCAGTCTCTCTTCTTTCTAACACATTTTTTCCTCTCTTCTCTCATTTCTCATACCTTTTGCTTTTCCTCTTTTCTCACACTCCCCTCTCGTTAATAAAGCCGTTTTCCTCTTTTCTAACACATTCCTACCGACTTTTCCTCTCCTCTAATTTCTAATACGATTTCTTTTGTGTTTCCTTTTCTTTTCTTCTGTCCATCCTAATGTATATGTCCACTAATCTATAATACAGATACCTGCCTGCACAGAGGTGTACAAACAACCGGGATTTTATGACAGTTTGACATTTAAATGTAGCGTTGGAATAGCATTTCCTTTCGCACTGAAGAGTGACAGATGGATACTTCGAGGCGATGCTGATTAATGCTAAGAGGAAAGCAAACTAAATTCTAGCCTGATGTTTCTTTGTCACAGCGGAAGAAATTGGGACACCCGACCACCCAAAGATATTGAAACAATTCCTAAAATAATGGTGCAACTTCTGATCGGCATCTTTTTTGCATCTGTTCACAAGTTTTATTTTCTCATTTAATTGCATTCAAATTTATTGATTGGTTGATTTGTTTAACAATATATCAACTCCTTATGGGTCATTTAATGCCCAAATTTTCTTGGGAGTTTGAAGTAATAAAAATATGATATATGTTATTCTGCTTTCACAATAAAATATATGGTAGATGAAACTCAGCTTTTGTGCGTATACATATTTGTGTGGATATGATTTTTAGAGGCGGTGATATGTGTGTTTTATTTTGTAGTTTTCTAGGTTATATTTCAGAATACAGCTTGATTTCTTTAAGAAATTATAGGATATTATATGAATTAGTATCATGAAATAGTAGTTTCCTGTTGGTTCTTTGATTGGTTGATTTTGCATAGCGGCATATCAACCACGATGTGTTATTTAATGCCGAAATCTAAATAATTTGAACACAATTTTATGGCTTCAACTAAATATATTTTGAATGAAATTGTATGCCTTCAACGGCAGATAAAATGTATTGTTGGTCATTTAGCTTTAAAAATCTGTATTGTTGGTCATTTTTCATATAAAAATATATTGCTGGTATTTTTACTATAAAATGTATTTATATAATTTCATAGTATTTCGATTTTGTTCACTATTTGATGGGACCCTAACAGGTGCTACCACTCCGGGCCAGGGTGGAAATGAGAACAACATCAATTAAGAGGTGATTCCAAGCTAAAAAAAAAAACCTCCAATCTCTTGACCAAA